CGCAGATAGGAAGCTAATCTATGAGCTCATTAATGCATAATTGTGGGTTATCCAGGTGCTTTCTAAGTTGGAAGTTTGTTGTATGTCTCATGTGCTTTTGTATGAGTAAATTTGTGTATGGAGCTAGAGATTCTGTTTGGGCACCATCCATGTATGGATAGCACTCAAAACAAAAAACAAAATTGTAGAGCTAGTCCTAGGATGCTAAGCCCTGAGCAGGCAAAGGTGAATAAGAAACCTGTTGGAGAATGTGAGGCTATGTGACAGGCAAATAGTCAAGTGCACACAAGTGGTATTAATAAAAGCAACAGAGGGTGCTATGGGAGCAAAGATGTGGAAGTTCAAACACAATAAGGGTGGGTAGGGTGACAGTCAAGGAAGCAGGAAGGGAGAGGAGGAGAAAGGGAGCTTCTGGAGGAAGTACCACGTGAACTTAGACCAGCAAGGTGAAATTATCAAGGTTAAAGAGGACATGTGCAGGGTACCAAGGAGTAACAGAGGGACAACATATGCAAAGACTCACGTACAAAAGAAAGAGCATTTATTTAGAAATGGCATTATGTCTGTGTGTGGGTAGAAAGATGTGTTTAGAGTAGGCCAGGTGATTAGGTTCTTGTAGGCATAAGAAGTTTATCTTACTAACAATGGCGACCACTAAAAATTAAGTATGGGAATGAAATAATACAGTCCACTTTTTAAAAGATCGTTATGGTTGCATGGTTTAAAAATCAAGAAAAACGTGTCAGGGTTGTGTCCTCTCACCATACGTATTCAATGAGTATGCTAAGCAAATAATCAGAGAAGCTAGATCATATGGAGAACGCAGCATGCGAACGGAAGGAAGGCTTATTAACAACCTGGGATACGCAGGTGGCACAAACCTTAAAGACTGAAGCACTTGCTGATGAAGATCGCGGATGGCAGCCTTCAATACCTATTACAACTCAATGTCAAGAAAACCAAAATCCTTACAATTGGATTGATAGATAACATCATGATAAACAAAAGACTAAAATTATCAAGGATTTCATCTTGCTTCGATCCATAATCAATGCTCATGGCATGGGACTGGGAAAATCTGCTGTAGGAGACCTCTTTAAAAAGTGTTGAAAAGCAAGGAGGTTCCTTTGAGAACTAAGGTGTGCCTGACCCAAGCCGTGGCATTTTCAATCTCCTCATACCCATGTGAAAGTTGGACACTGAATATGGAAAACCAAAGAAGAATTGAAGTCTTTGAAGTATGGTTCTGGTGAAGAATATGGTAAGTACCACGGACCTCAAAACAAAACACACAAGTCTGTCTTGAGAGAAGTACAGCCAAAACTCTCCTGAGAAACAAGGATGGCAAATCTTCATCTCATACTTTGGGCATGTTTTCAATAGAGACTAGTCCCTGGAGAAGCATATGCTTGGTAAAGCAGAGGGGCAGTGAAAAGAGGAAGACCCCCAACAAGATGGATTGACACGGTGGCTGCAATGATGGGCTAAAATATATCAAAAATTGTGATGATGGCACAGGACTGGGCAGCGTTTGATTGTTCACAGGGTCACTGAGTCAGAACAGACTGGACAGCACCTAACAACACAGTGGATTAAAGAAGAAAACAGCAAGGCCAGGAGAGCAGTTATGAATGAAGCACGCTGTTGAGCGTGGAATGAAGCAACCATGTCAGGGAAACCTTAAGAGCAGTGGTTCTCAACCTTCCTAATGCCAAGACCCTTTAATACAGTTCCTCATGTTGTGGTGATCCCCCAACCATAAAATTATTTTCATTGCTACTTCATCACTGTAATTTTGCTACTGCTATGAATTGGGAGACTCCTGTGAAAAGCTCGTTCGACCCCTAAAGGGGTCACGACCCACAGGTTGAGAAACGCTGCTTTAGAGGATAGGGAGCACCAATGCCTTGGTAATGAGTGAATATTGGCAACAAGGGATAGGACCCAGGTTCCTGGACCGAACAACTGGGCTAATGGGGCAGGAATGGATGAGCATTCACAGGGAAAAGGTTTGAAGATCAAATAAGAGAATCTGGGTCTGAAGCCTGGGGAAATCCCAATGAGAGGAGGAGCAAGGGCAAAGGAGCCTAAGAGGCAGAGTGAGTAGTCAGAGAAGAGACAGAAAATCCAGGTCAGTGAGGCAACCAAGTCTCAAGGAAGAAATGGTAAAGAGTGTCACAAACCAGAATGAAATAATGCTGCAAAGATTTCTGCTGACCTGACAGATTTCAATAATTTCAGTAAAATGGTGAGGGCAAAATTGTGATGATGAATTTACAGACAACCAATGTGTATCTTCTTGATGAAGCCTGAAAAAAATACGCCAGGTACCTAAAAGGGGATACAAGGGTAAGGAAGTTTGCTTTAAACAGGAGAGACTCCGGATGAGTAATACATTGGGTTATAACCGCTAGGTAGGAATTTCACGTCCATTCAGAGGCACCTCAAAAGCAAGCATTGGTGATCTAAAAGGTCATATTCTGAAAACACAGTTCTACTCTGACACACACGGGCTTGTCATGAAGCAGAAATGACAGCAACACATACTGGTAATAATAAGACTTAGAAAACTTAGCTTCTAACTTTAGTTCATACAATACAGCTCAACAGTGATTACTGGGTAATCACAGTATGGGTGAAATTGAGTTAACTGTATGTGTTTAACAGTTAATCAGACCCAGACTCATAGTAACCGTCTCTGTCAAATTGAACTGTACTCTGCAGGTTTTCAGTGGCTGATTTTTGAGAAGCAGAGCATCTTGGGGTAGACACAAATCTCCCTACTCTGTTAGCAGCCTAGAACATTAACTGTTTGCACCACCCAGGGACTCACCGGCAGTCATCTCAGATGCAACTATTGGCCTCACCCTATCTAGTGGAAAGAATGATGAAAATCAAAGACACATTCAAACAATTAGTTCAATGGACTAATGACCCACACAGATGTTCTCCACAGCTCTGACACCACAAGAACAAGATGGTACCCAGTTAAAAATACCAACTGCTCAGAAAGGGGTCATATTAGAAAGTTCTGGTTAGAGTGGGAGAAAATGTGGACTAAAATCAAAATTTTTAAAATACCAGTCTTACTAGTCAGATAGACTGGTGGAACCCCTGAGACTACATACCTAAGTTACCCACAGGTCTAGAAATGAACTCACCTATGATTTTATATATATATATATCCCTGCCACTGAATCAATTCAGGTCTAGAAATGAACTCACCCATGATTTTATATATATATGGATATATATATATCCATCCCTGCCATTGAATCGATTCTGACTTACAGTGACCCCATAGGACTGGGTAGAACTGCCCTAGTAGGTTTCTGAGGCTGTAACTTGATGGGAGCAGAAAGTCTTATCTTTCTCCCCAAATGTTGTTGGGAGGTTCCAAGTCTAACTTTGCAGTTAACAGCCTAATTACATAACCCACTATGCCACCGGCCCCTAACAATAACATCAATGAGGTACATACACCTTAAATTAATCAACATTTGAGATCAAAAGGGCAGCATTTACTGGAGGACAAAGTTCAGAGGGTTAGGAAAGGAGCAAGGGGAACAGGAAACACATGGAAGAAGTGGGGTAATCGAAGGAATTATGATTGAAGGGATTGTGATTAATGGCATGAAACAATGTATGACTTGCTAAATGCAAAATGAATTATCTTCTCTCGAAACCTTTATCCAATCTACAAGTTTTTAAAAAAAGGCCACTATTATTAGTTGCCATACCAACTACTGTCCATCCCATATGTTAATGAAGTGTAACTGCTCCACGGGGTTTTCTTAGTTGTAATCTTCGATATAAAATGTAATCTTAGCAGAAGCCAGAAAAATGTTATGGAACAGTCCTATGTAATAATCATAGCGTCCAGGAGTTGAAATGGACAGGTCCATAACCAGTTTAGGGTTGATTTGGCTTTCTATTGGGGTAGATAGCTTGGCATTTCTGTTCTCTGGTTTTGACAGAAAGCGAAGTGGTGCACCAAACCCAGAACAAGGGTGGATAGTGACAAGAAGAGCTGCGATTCTCATACAACTAACAACTGCAAAGATCGCCAAAGAAAACTGCTATTGTGGAAAATGAGCTAACTGCAAATTGATCATTTAACTCAAAACCGATTTTTAAAAGGTGCTTGTCGGTAAAGACGTGGTTTACGAAGTGACGCCCCCTGGCAGTGCAGCTACAGCCAGGGCTCCCGCCGCAGAAGCCTGGAAGCCCAGGTTTCCTGCAGCTCCCTGGCAGTCCTTTGTGACCCGGTTCATTGAACGGGGGTCGGAAATGGAAATTCCTGAGACCGACCCTCAGAAACGCCAGCTCGCGTCCTTCCCACGCTGCAGGGGCCCCTGAAGCCAAGTTGTTGCAGCGTCGTGAGCTGCGTGGCCACCTGGCCTCGGCCCGGTGACTGGGGACATCGGACGGTGGGCTCTGACCGCTGTCCACCGACGTCCGGTCCTGTGACTCAGGCCCCTCCGCCACGTTTCCCAAGGGAATGCGCCATCCATCCAGGGGTCATCCCCGCGGAGGGGCTCCCAACCGACCCGGGTCTGTAAAGTGCGGACCGCACGGAGGCAGTAAAATGAAGGCGGCGACCGGCCCGTTGGCAGATACATGTGGACTGGCAGGTGCGGCTCCGGCCCGCAGGGTCCTCGGGACGTGCTCCTGGCAGAAGCCGCGGCGACCCCTCCCCGCCGCCCACTGACCTTGACGCCCTTTCGGACGCGACAGCGGGCCCGGGCCGTCTGCGTCTCTGCCGGGCAGGAAGCTGACTCGGCAGCGACGGCGGCGGATGCGGCCGGGGGCCGCCGCGGCGCGCGCTTCTGCTCGGCCCGCCCTCGGCCGGACCCCCAGCGTCTCGCACCTCCCCGGAGGCCCGCGCCCCCGCCCCGCGCCGCCGGGCAGCCAATCACAGTGCTGCGCACGTGACGAGCGCTGCCGGCGATGACCTCATCCCTGGTGTGGGATGACGTCAAATTCAAGATGGATGGAATCACAGCGGCAGCGGCGGCTGCGGCGCGCGCGAGCCGAGTGTGAGCGGAAGGGGGCCCTGCGCCTGCCTCGGGGCGGAGAGCGGTGAGTACCTGTCTTGCCCCTCGCTCCGTGCGAACGACGGGGCCCCGGGGTGGGCTACAGTCTCCCCGCAAAACGCGGCCTTTCCTGACGTAACTCTGAGGTGACTTCTCTCCTCTTTTTTTCTCGCCACTAGCGGGCTGCGGTCTCTGGGGGCTCTGCGCGTGCGCCAGGGCCGTAACGCTTACGGAGCATGCCCTGGGCTCCCACGTAGCCGCTCGTGCCTCCACGCTGCGCATGCTCTGTGCTTGCGCTTGACTTTGCCCACGCGACTGCGCACGCTCCGTTGCCTCCGTGGGCTCCGCGCTTCGCTCGCAACCGGTTGGGGTTGAAACGCCGTCCGCGTCGGGCGCGTGCTCGCGACTTGGGGAGGCGCTTTCGGGTTGGCCGGTGTTGCAAGGTCCGCCTGAAGGAGCCTGCTGGGGTCGTGGCCGGCCGTTGTCGCGACTTGTCCCGCCGTCCCCAATCCCCGCGTTGTCCCCCGCCCTCCACTTACAGTCAGTTCGTTCCCGCCGCAGCCCTGTCGGTCCGGCGGCAGGGGGCTGTCACCGCCCGCACGACCGGCAGTGACCCGAGTTGGCTCTCCCCATCCGCAGGCGAGCCGGGAGTCTGGCCGTCCAAGCACATCCGTTTCCACCCAGAACCCCGGGAAGGAAGACCGGGTCTCCGATTTTCACCGCTTAACGCCCAGCTTTCCTGCTTTCCCTCTTGGAGAAAGTCCCCTGCCCTGAAGGCTTTGGGGAGAGGAGGGGTGTGGAGGGAGAAGGTCCAGCCCCAGCCCACCGCACCTGTTACTGGGACCCCAGTGGCCAGAGGTGCCCTGGAGCCCCTCAGGGAGTTGTGGGTTTTCTTATCGGCCCACCCACACAGACCCACTGCCATAGAGTTGATTTCGACTCATGAAGACTCCGTAGGACAGAGTACAATGGCTCGGTAGGGTCTCTGGTCTATACATCTTTCAGGAGGAGCCAGCTTCATCTTTCTCCCAAGGGGTGGCTGGTGAATTTGAACCCCTGTTATTGGGGATAGCAGCCCAATACATAACCCACTGCACCACCAGGGCACCTTCTTAACACCTAGGCTTTATCTGGAACAAGCTCAAGAGCTCTTCCAGAAAGCATCCTGTATCTTTCGATCTTAGAGGCTGTATAGTTTGGAGATAAGACCTATGCAGCACATTGGAAGGAGCGGGTAATTTTGGAGGCAGGCACACCAAGGGGATTGCCTGACAGGGAGAAATACAAGGGCTAACAGCTCTGGAGTTCTAGCATGAGATGGCATCAGTGGAGGATAGCACAGCCTAGTGCCTGTTCATCATCTTGACCTCCTAGTTGTCCATAGGGACCTTGCCTGTGTAAACCTTATTTAAGAGGTGACGGAAATAGGCTAACTCATTTTAGAAAGTTGTGGTTAGAAATTTTTTTAAGTAAACTTTTCCCACTAGTGCTTGAAGAAGTAAATCCTTCACCCACCTCGAATTCAATGTGCTTGTCAGTGCCACGCAATATTGTTTTTTTAAAGGAGCTGCGGTGGTGCTGTGTCAGGTAAGCATTGAACTGTGCACCTCAAGGTCAACGGTTTGGACCTACCAACTGCTCAAAGGGAGAAAGATTTACCACTTTGGAAACATTATATAAGGCCATTTCGAGTCAGAATAAATTGAGTGACACCAGGGTTGGGGTAGAAAATTTGATACTACAATGGCAGGCATTTAGGACACTTTTTACTTAGAAGTAGGAGTTCTATTTAATTCATTTTTCAAATACCATTCTTTGAATGTTTCAACCAGCCCCACTGCCATTGAGGTAGTTCTAACTCATGGTGACGTTATATACAGGGCCTGAGACTAAATCCTTATGGCAGCAGACAGCCTCATCTTCGCCTGATGAGTGGTTGCTGTTTGAACTGCTGACCTGTGGGTAGCAGCCCAATGCCTAATCTCACAGCAGGCTTTACTTAACATGCAACAGGTGTCCTTCTCAGGAAATAAAAGTTGAAAAGGATCTAACCCCTCCTCTCAAGGAAATCACAATAGTATCTAATAGTGTTACCCATAGAAACTGAGAAGAAAAATGAATGGTAACTAAAAGGAGTCCTGGTGGCACTGAGGGTTAGGCTAACGACAAGGCCAGCAGTTCAAACTTATCTGCCACTTCAAGGGAGGAAGATGAAGCTATCTGCCTGCCTTCAGATTTATAGTCTCAGAAATCCTGTGTACGGTCACTATAAGTCTAAGTCCCCTCCATGGCCTTGGGTTTGTTTTTGGTTTAAGGGCCCTTAACATTACTGAGGGAGGCCTCTAAAGGAGAGGGAGTCACTGAAGGGGCAATTTTTATTGGCCTCAGAGCCCATGAAGATCAGGAGCACAGGCTAGGAATGACAGCTCATAGTAACTGGCTGTAAACGACAGAGAAGTTTCTGCTTTGGGATACCAGGCTATTAGCAGCAATTAAACTAAATAGGCCATTTGCGAGAGCAAGGAGATATGGGGGCACGGTGAAGGAGGATGTCTATACTAAGTACGACACTGCACCTGTCGACTTTGAAGTCCAAGCTACAGTAGCACGGTAGTGAAAGTGCTAGGCTGCAAATTGAAAGGTTAGTGGTTCCAGCCTGTCAGCTGCTCTACAGGGGAAGGGTGTAGCAGGCTAGAGAGTCGGATGGAGTCCAACCCACCTGGAAGGCCCTGGGGTTTGGGTTGGGATATACTTTGGTGGAACCCTTCGGTAGATGCATGAGAGACTGGAGTCCCAAGAGAACAGATTTGGGAGTCATCATCTAGCAGTGCTTAGAGCTTTAAGAATTCATGAGAACAGCGAAGAAAGCTGCCATTTGCTGGACTCTGACAGACCCATGGAACCTAAAGACAAACTAGGGTCCAGGAATCTCCAGGTTACTGTGTATCCCCTCGTTCAGTACATAACCTGCCAGGCCTTGTTCTAAGCACTAAGGATACATAGGAAGCTAAGTCAAAAAACATTGCCACAAAATAACTGAAACTTTATTAAGCCAAAATATAAAAATGTGAAGCTATAGTGTGTTTTGGGGTTGTTGTTGTTTTTGACACATACTCCATGTAGTTCTTCACACTTCTAAAGGCATTGCTTCTATAACCCTTCCAAAAAGAATTGTATACATGATTTGCACCACAGAAAGACAGCAAAATCCTTGAGGGACTTGTAGAGTTTGGGGAACAGAAGTGCGAAGGGACAAGGGCAGGGCTGTAGAGGGTAAGGTTTCCCAGGGAAATTCTCATAGGACAGCCCTTGCTACCATCTTAAGAATGAGCGGGTGCACTGTCATGATGGAGGGGAAAATTCCTCAGCCCAACTTTCCTGGCCTTTTTCTCACCAATACAGGTTTTTGTTTGCATAAGCACCCCCATGATACGCACATCATGACGGGCCTTGAATTGAAATCACAGTGCTTTGGGTGCCACAAGCTTGCTGAGGCCAAGATGTTAGCTTCAAATTAGAAATATAGAGCCATGTGCGATCCTAGCTTCAGTTCCCATTTCATCAGTGGTACTCTGTGGTCATCTTCCACCAGTTTCTGGACACTCGCTGTAGAATCTTCTTTCATTGAAGTGAACATTCTTCCTTCTCTGGCTTATCTTTAAGGTCTTTCTGACCATCCTTGATTCATTACAAGTTTTGTTTTACGTGGGGCAGCATTGCCATAAACATGGCAAAGTTCTAATGATCCAGGAAAATGTCCATTTGAGTTTTGTTGAATTTTCTTTTTAAGGCACCCTAACAAGACTAAGACATGTATATTACTGAGAGAATTTGCAGCCATCCACAGAGAGATTTTTAATAAACTTGGGCTTGTATGTACTAGAACCTCACTAGCGATACTTTTTTACTCACCCCTGTAGATGAGGAAACAAGGACTTCTGCTTAGCGGGTGGACCGTGAGGACGATGAGGCAGAGTAACCAAAGAGGTGGTGCTGTTACTGCAGAAAGATGACGTATTGTGGTAGTTGAATGGCTGAGCTGCTGATGGAGGTGGGGAGAGATTACTAATCTTCTGTGCACAAGGTTAGTTTGGAGCTAGCTCCTTCTGCAGAAGAGGTAAGAAAGGTATTTCACGTGGTGGCTACTGGGTGCACGAGCCTTGGAGGGTGTGTCCAGTAAGAGTGGAACTGTGAATTGCAGCCAGAATGTAGAATTATGTTTGCCAGTCTGCAGTTTATAGTTCATCCAGGAAGTAGTAGAAAAATCAATACAGTATTTTGAAGCAGAGTAGTGGTGTGTCCACTTTTGCTTTAGGAAAACCAAACGCATGATTTCCATTCCTTTGTACCTAATTCAAGTGTCAGCACAAAAAATCAATAAGCATTTATTGTTGTGCAAGGTACCGTGTTAGGCATTTTGAAGAGGGCTGACGTGCAATAGATTCTCATTTCCTCGGGAGCTTACAAGCATACTGGAGAGATACAGATGGCAGACAATATAAGCCAATGAGTAAACACAACGTGAAATGGTGCAGGCTCTTTGTAATCCATCAGAAAGAAGAGGTTTGCCCATTATAAACTGAAGTGATCAAGGCAGACTAGTGGGGCTGTGAAAAATGATTCATATTCATATTGTGATGAGTGGCAAGGTGAAGTCTCACTCACTGCCATCAAGTTGATTCTGATAAAAGCCCTATAAGACAGGGCAGAACTGCCCCTGTTGGCTTTCTGAGCCTGTAACTCGACAGGCATAGAAGTCCTATTCTTTCTCCCATGTCGACTGGTGGTTTCAAGCTGCTGACCTTGTGGTTAACTGCCAAATGTTTAACCCACTACTAACACCTGGGCATGAGAGGTGGTATACTCACTGCAATTGAGTTAATACCGACTCATAGTGACCCGTAGGACGGGGTAGAACTGCCCCAGCAAGTTTCCAAGACTAACTGTTTACAGGAGTAGAAAGGCCAAGGAGCCGCTGGTGGCTTTGAACTACTATAGGCCTTGCAGATTACAGTCCAACACATAACCACTATGCCACCAGAGCTC